TCTTTCTGCGCTCAGTGATGCCACAAATTTAGTTAACCAACTTAATCTTGATGGTCTATCTCAGGAACAAGTCACTCAACTCACTAAGTGTTTAACTGGAAAACTTCCACTATTGAAATCATCGCTCGGTTTGTTCGACTAAACCATGTGCCACAACAAACTTCAGCTTGAAAATGTAATAAAACTCCAGAATTTTGAAATTTTCCAAATATTTTAGATACAAAGAAGATAGATGTTATTTCAATAAATAAATTTGTGAATTATAATTGGCTGTTTTATTTTAAAAACAGTAGTATATATATAAATAATTCTTCACCATTGAATCGTTGCAGCAAAAGAATAGTTAAGAATAATACTGCAATATAAATCATAATCACTCATTTTAAAGCGTTGAATCTTTTCACATCATTTCTATGTTGGAGTATTATTTTGAAAAACGAGCAATTTTTTTTATTTTTTCGTCGATCGTTTTAATCGAATAATTTCAACTATTTCAACCAAAATCAATTATATTTACTATTGAATTGTTTGCCAGGACCAATGAACAACAAGGACGAATTGAAAAGGGACTTAGATAGTTTTGGCCACTGTAAGCTTAACTTGTTTCATATCATTTTTATTCTCATTAAAATCTTCTTTTTTATTTCTTTGTTATTCAAAACGATTCAATCTAGCGATATTCAGCTGAAAACAAAAAAGTGAAAACATTTTCGTTGTTTTCATACCATCGCAGTACAACAGTTTTATATTCAGATGTTGTTTTCATTTTTGATGAATTTATATACGAATTTAAGAATGTAACAATATTACAAATTCCTTAAATTAAAAAAAAAGTTACTAAGAAATAGTGTACAGTAAAAAAACTGTTTTTTAACCCATTTGTATTGAAATTGAAATTCAAAGAACGTTTGGTGCCATCTATCGTCAAATTTCAATCAGTCATCACGATTGACACATTTTGATACATATCCATTCACTTCTGTTCAATACTTTAAATGATATTGTTGTGGACGTTGTAAATTGTCGCATATCACTTGTGTCGATTTGATTATATTGCCAACAATAAGAATGTCAGTTTCAATAAAACTTTCAAACACTTTACTGTCGGTATGAAACATTTATGAGGCAAACATTATTTTCAAATATTCATTGAACATTGTTTACATTTTGTAGCGTATTGAAAGTGTCAAAGTGGCAACAATAGGCCATGGGTTGGTTCAAAATAATGCAGTTTTGGCACTCAGTTTGAATGTCAGTGGAGATAAATTTACTGTTTGGATTCAAAAAAAAATTGGACATAATTCAATGGTCGAACGATAAAATTCTCAACCTTCAATCTGACGTCTTTCAACTTTTTTAGGAAGCAGATTCCATATAGAATTAAAATGCAATGTGAAGAAAAGTTGACTGAAAGTCGAGCATGGGCACGAATCAAATGTACGAAGTCATCTTGAAATCAATCGACAGAAATATTTCGTGTTTTGAATCGAGCGTAACGGATATGGATAGACCAGTGCATAAGATTAATTTCTATTCAAAAGTTTTCATCAGCTTTGTTTATCCAACGACCACCACCGGGTAATGAATTAAAATCTTTCTTGTACCAAAATCAAGGATTTTTGTTTCAAACAAAAATCAAATCAACCAACGGAAACAAAATCACATCAATTTAAACTTGTCACGACCATACTCATGACGAGATGACGTCTATTCGTTTAGCAATGAAACAACGCAGGCTTAATTACTGAATCCATACATATTCAAAGATTCTGAGGAAAAATTCAAAAAATGAAAAAAAAAATCCGATCTATTTTCAATCAAAACACTGTGTCGAAACTGATGTTAGTCTTATGATAAAACAATATTTCAAAGCACTATATGTTCATACAAATAGTTTCGAAAAATGCAAAAAAAATTGATTTTTCTATGAGAGTCATGCAAACTTTGCACATGTTATTTATATGAAATATGTAGTACCTAGAACCTGTAGGTGCAAACTATAAATTTAAGATAAAAACAGAAAATACAAGAAGATAAAACCCAAAACCATTGATGCTTTTGATCTGATCAATAAAAATTCTATTTTGTATTCAATTTGAAACGGTTGTTGATGTTGTCATTCCTTCGCTTTTATTCCAGGGTGTAATCATTTCCATTTAAGTTAAACCATGGTTTAAAACCAAGTTTCCTGTGAAGTTGCAATAAATAGTAAAAAACGAATATTTTTTTTTCATTTTTTAATGGTCTTTATAAAAGAATATCATCAGAGATTATAGAAAATAAGAATTACTTCTTCTTCATATCACCAAATTTACATTCGTTTTATGTACTTTCTATTGTTTTAACAGTCGATTTTGTTTGTTTTTTATCGCAAATAAGGCATGAAATTCAATTAGTATCGCATTTAAGTTCAAAATTATGTAAACGAGTGTCTATAATATAAAAAAATAGCCGCTTTGGAATTGAATATACCTATTTTATATGAATAAGTAGTATCTATAGTTTCTATTTGTTTTATTAATAACGAAAAGTCTTTAATTTCGATAAAAAAATAATCATGAGTTCACAGCAGAAAAAAAGGTTGAGATTTTGAGTATAAGCAGTTTTTATTTTAAAATCTAAACCGAAATTGAGATATCTCAACAAAAATTTATTTTTCGTTAAAAAAATAATTTCTCAATGAAAACAAATATTTCAATACTAAATGGAAATCTGAAAATCTACCGATCGGTTTTTCTCACTTTTTCGATGGGAAATCGAGAAAAATAACGGCCCTATAAAGGGAGTGGACCACGAGTGTTCAACTTCCAGAAGATTTGGGTCAGGTCGGATCCACCTATTCCACAAGATGCACTACTCATAATATCATCCTGTTCACTACTCATAATATCCCCGTATGATATCGTGTGAGAGTGAGCGGGAAGAAATGAGCTAGAAATGAATCTTGTGGAATAGGTGGATCCGACCTGACCCACAATCTTCTGGAAGTTGAGCACTCGTGGTCCACTCCCTTTATAGGGCCCTAATGGGGGTACCGAATTTTTGTTATTTTTCTCGATTTCCCATCGGAAAAGTGAGAAAAATCGATCGGTAGATTTTCAGATTTCCATTTAGTATTGAAATATTTGTTTACATCGAGAAAGTATTTTTTTAATGGAAAATAAATTTTTGTTGAGATATCTCAATTTCGGTTTAGATTTGAAAATAAAAACTGCTTATATGCAAAATCTCAACCTTTTTTTCTGCTGTGTTGCGCCAAAAATTTGGTGCTCACATTATCGTTTTGTTTTCATTCACTTATTTCTAGACGGATAGAGACGATTCTCTATGATTGACATGATTGGTGTCTACCTCTATAATTGTCTGATTTGCTCGCATTCATTGCAAATAGTTTAATTTTAGAAAATGCACTGAATTTTCATTTTCAGTCCACCCCATTCAATGCAAAATGGTTGACTGAAAAACAAACTAACATAACACGCATATAACATTTAAATATGTAAAATTTAATTGACTTTGTTTCATCGTATGGCTTAAATATTTTTTTATTGTGTATGAATTATATCATGGTACAACACTTTAGCACGACGTTTGAAGAGTGATTGATTTGTTCTTGTTATGTTTTATTATATATATTTTTTCTTCGTTTAATCTGTTCGTAACCTATCTAATTTAAATTTTAAAGAACCGACTACCGTAAACCTGTTTCAGTTCGTTTATAAATATATCGAATTTTGATTCTGGTAAAATTTTCTGAAACAAATGCACGGCTTCATGCGTTGGTGTGATTGTTTTAAGAAGGTCCAACATTTTTCGCCACATATTACCTTTAAGCAATGACGATTTAATCTCATTTTGTCGTTTGGTGCTCAAAAAATCATAATCCAATCGAACTTCATTTAGTGTTATAAGCAATTCAGCCATATTTCCCACCTTTGATAGAGATACTGAAAGTGAAATATCGGCACCATCGCTAATCGTTGGTAGTGGTGGTGGTGCTTGTGATTGTGAACGCAATGGTGTTGTTTTTGTTCGTGGACGCTTTGTTGATGGCACCCGCTTAATGTCATTACTATTGTTTGCATTTGTATTATTTTCAGTTGAATTTGGACTATCAATGCGTGGATTTTGAGTAACTGGAACGATTTGTGAAACATGCATGGCACCTGAAATGAGTAAAATTCGATTCATTCGATTAGTATTACATTATACATTGATTTTCACTGTGAAACATATAAGTTATTGATTCTTACATGTTTTTGATTACAAATTACTTAAATATATTTCGGTTACATACTAAATTATTCAATTTCGTTTGTCGTTCAAAACAAACTCTTTTGAACAATATATCGACTCGATTCATCGAAATACAAAATACAAATACAAAAACATGCTTTAATCCAACACAAAATCATACGAAATTAATGACCAAAGATAAATATGGTAAACATTTTAAATGCAAATAGATAAAAAAAATTAAAATCAATTAAAGAAAGAAATGCTCTGTTTTCCTTTACTGAATGAATGATAACTTTAAAATTAGCAATTAATGAGTAGAAAAACGTATACGCGACATATATGACGACCGATTCAGCTTGAAAGTCAACATTTTGATGAATGTATAATAATCATAAAGTCACGCGGATAACAACACATAACGACGATATTCATACCTAACCTACATTCAATGAAACCCTTTGTAGTTCCAATTTTACAAACAAAATGTTACAACTAAACTTCACAAATATATGGTCGTTTTTTTTTTTTTTTTTTTTTTTGTTAAATTAGTTTTAAAATGTATTCTTCGAAAATCACCTTAATAATAAATCAGTTGAAGAACAAAATGAAATGTTTGTGCGTACTATAATCGAAAACTCAGTGTTTCGATTTGAAACATATTTTGCGCACGAACTATCACCAAATACATCTTACTTTTGACGGTCTACTCCTAAAATTTCAATCAAAATAATGTCATTTCTTTTTTTTTTTTTTTTTGAATAAATAAAAAAATGATTATTTGAATAGAAGTCACATTGAAAGCGAATTGTAGTCACATTGAAAAAATGCAAACGCATTTTAAATGAACAATCTTTCAAGGCCATGTTAAAATCGTTCGGTGCATTTCAATGTGCACACAAAACGCACTTTCAATGCGTTTCTTCATTCAAAAAAAAAAAAAAAACATCCAAACAAATGTTCAACACATTAAGGAGCGATTAGAATAAGTGTTTAATAAGTAAGAGAAAATTAGTACTGGTAAGAAATATATGGAAAACTAGCAAAAAAATTGATTATCAAAAAAGGTGCAAAAAAGTGCAAATAAAACGATGTAGAAATTATTAGAAAAAAAGGTTAAAGAAAATAGATTATTCGAATGATAAGAACATATATATAAAAAAAAACATGTCAATATCAACTTACGCGAATTGAGGTCATCGGGAGTGAGTATCTTCAGTGTGGATTGTGGTGTTCGGATTTCTTTTTCGGTTCGTTCGAGTGGTGCTTCTGATGCACGATTCACTGGATTTTGCAGAAAATCAGTATTATGTATATGAGTTATATACGGTAGATGTAACTGTGGTGGTGTTGCACGTTGCTGTTGTTGGTACGATTCTCTGGGTGGACATTGTGCGTTTCGAGACGGTGGATTCGATTTTAAACCCGTTTGTTTATCACAAACTGATTGACGGCGTGACGGAAGACGAGCATTTGACGAATGTTCTGCTTGCGACATATGCACTGAAAGGGCACGTGATCTCGGTGCTGGCACACGAGTCGGTATTGTAAGTAACTGTGGCAATGTGGGCGTATTTGATGGATTTTGTGTATTCGCATTTACTGTATTTGATGATGAGATTGCATTTGGCGTCGATGCAGTTTGTGCTATTGCTATATTTGGCGATGGTGGTGTAATTCGACTGGGTCCGCTCAAAGCTTGTGCATGATTGATTTGTGGTGCATGCACATTACTTGGTGATTTTGTTAATGATGATGGAAGTTGCGATTGAATTGGAACATTTGTTGGTACATTTGGTGAATTTCGATTATTTCCACGTACCGAAGACGTTAACAAATTCATGGGACGTGATTTTTGGGGTGTGCACAATTGATCTTTACGTACTTTAATTGATTCGATAAAATAAGCAATTTTTTCTTTCGTCGCTTTATTCATAGCCGGTTGATCATTTTTATTTATACTTATATACGTTGGTTTTTCCGTTTCAAAATTTCGAAGTACAAATGGTTTATCTTTCATTTGTTCATCAATCCAATTGAGTGCAGCCGATTGATTGCCCAAAATAACAAATTCTTCGTTGGTTTCTTTTTCAGCAGTTTTTGCTTTGCTGGGCGTCTTTTTGCTTTTCGATTTTTTCCCATTTTTATCTAAAACGACATAAAACGAAATTATAGAACTAAAAAAAATCAAAGTCGGAGAAAAAATGGAGTGTGTGTGTATGTGTGAATTGAATCGATAGTCTTACCATCATTCACTTGGTCATTTACGGATTTTATTGATGTATCCATTCTCTTTTCGGCATCAATCTTTGTGGTATCCATCGAAAGTGAATTTTTTTCCATCGATTTTTCATCCGTTTGACTAGTACCTTTGGTTTTAGCATCTTTTTCGTGTGTTTCGCGTTGTTTAGATTTTGGTGCTGGTTTTTTGGACGTACGTTTCCTTGTTGAGCTTAATTCCTTTTGAATTTTTTCGATTTTTTCCGCTGTTAATCGTGTAATGCCTAATTTACATTTGAGAAATCTTGCAAGACGTTCTTTGGGCAATTTATTGCCCAAATATAAACAGGAAATCATGTGCTTATGTATACTGCCGATGCAATTGTTGTCAATGGTTTTTTTACATTTTATGCATCGTCCTTTTTTATGTGTTCTCGAATGAAAATTCACTTCGTTTTGGCTCTTGAGTATCACCACACAGGTTTCGCATCTGAATACGGGTGACTTTTGTGTATTCTGAAAGAACTGTGTGATTGGCGGCGTTGCCGTTGATTTCACTTTTTTATCACGATGCAATAACTTGCTTTGGATTGATTTATTGGATGATGATAATGATGATGATGCGATGGGTGTCGATGTCAATTGATTAATCGAACTTTTTGGTTTGACCGGTGTTTCGGCTACAGTTGTCGTTGTTAATGATTTCTCTTTTATACCGTCGGATATTTTCATTTTCTTTGCTCTGTTCGCTTCAATGTCATCAACTTTTTGTGATTGATTTCGATTTTTATCAACATTTTCCGATGAACGACTTTCCACAACGGACAAACGACGCTTTCGAACTGCTGTTATCACAGTCGGTGTACTTGGACGTTCTAGTGAAACCATCGTCTTTCGACGATCTTTTATCCGTCCACCAATTGCACTTGTACTGGACTGAGGTGCATCAGTTTCATCCGTTTTTTTCTGAATACTATGACGTTCATGCTTTTTATTACGTGCATCTTTTGAATCTCGTTCGCTTTGAACTTCATCAGCATCTTTTTGGCGAACGTTTTGTTCTGGTGCAACGCTTCGAAATTCATTTCGATCTTCATCACGATTTGATTCTTGCATTGATTTACGTGACGTTGATGCTTGCACTGGTTCAGCCACTGATCTTTCCGGTTCGGGTTCAATTGGCTCTTCAACATGCAAATCTGGTGGACTATCTGTCATTTGATCATCCATATCCTCATCCTCGTCTTCAGTTTTGATAACTACATTTGGTGGTACTGTAAACAAACATACAAAAATGACATCTCTTACAGTGTATTTAAAATTTAAAAAAATTGATCGCCACAAACAAATAAACAGAGCAATAACGAAAACCAAATACAAATATTTTATATCTTACCCGCATCTGCTTCGATTTTCATGTGACTCATCTGAAATAGAAAAGAGATGAAATGTGGGAATTATAAACAAATATCAGTGTTGCAGACACACACGCACACACAGACACATATTGTATGCCTGAATGTATGTGCAATTGTGCATGTATATTATGATTAGATAGTTTTCTATAACTGTATTTGTCACACATCAACGCTGATTAAATAAAATTGATAGTTGAAAAATTAAAGAAAAAAAAAAATGAATAAAAAATTTGATGAATTATTCAAATAATAATAAAACAGTGACAAACGCACCCTGTATAAATTACCTGCCGAAAATCGGTCAGCCATTTTTTCTTGAAAAATTGAATTTTCATCATTGCATGTGGCTGATGATGCAACTGAATATCGATTGCAATCAAACTAGTTGACCGAAAATGGAATGCAAACAAAATGTGATCGTCGTCGAGAGGCACGAGTATTGTTCATTCAAATTAATTTAATTGAATTATAAGCATTGCGTGAATGATGCAAAATGACGAACAATATATTACTTTGTTTAATGAGAATATATGGAACATGAGTCGGACTTCGTTTAAATACTCTTTTGTTAGTTTAATTTTTTGATTTGTTGTTTTTTCTTCTTCTTCTTCATTCAAACTTGGAAAGTGCGAGAGAAATAGATAACGAGAATTGAGAGATTGTGACTTTTCTTTTTACGAAATTGTTCTATCGTTCTTTATATTATCGCTTGAATTGGTTGTACGTGATTTGCTCGTGCCGAATGATTAGCTCGTTCGTTTTTATGGAGGATGAAAACGAAGAGCGAACAAATAATTATAATAATAAATCAAATTTGTATCGCGCGCGCGCCCGCCAAGCTATGTTTATGTTTTCTTTTCAAAGTATTGTATTTTCTATGTTGTATATTTATAGTGTAAAAGTTTGTTAATCGATACACGCGAGTAGTTAATTGGCGACACCGTTTATTTAGTTTCCGTTGTTTTAAATAATTTATTCCTTGAAACGAATGCTGATGAGAAAAAAATCGGAGAAAAATGAAACCCGATCAACTGACTTGAATGATTTATATATCGTGTATGTGCAAATGGAAAGATGTGACTCGTTGCCGAAATACGCAATTATTGTTTGTTTTGTTTAATTTTTATTTTTTTTCTCTCTTTTCTTCTCTTCGCTGCTTTGTCTATACATATATTGTGTGTGTATGTTTTTTCTTCTTCTTATTCTTTTGCTGTATATGTGTATATGTTGATGTGTGTTTTGTTCATTTGTTTTTATGTCTCTGGTTAACGATTAGCAATCTCTATATATCGAGTTCCTGCCTATTTTGTCGAATATTTTACTCATTTATTCATATAAAAAAAAATTTCTTCTTCGTCGAAAGACGACAAAAACACTTTGTAATCATTTTCGATGATTGCGATTGTCTGTAGAATTTTACGATGCCTTAGTGTCTCACTCGTCATCGCAACATGTGTTTTAATGTCTTGCATTCTCACTGTTCACTGGCTTTGCTGGGAGAGAGAAAAAAAACACACAACAACCAGAAACCGAAACCACAAAAACAAAAACAAAAATTAAAATATAACTCCGGTGATCTACCGTCTTACGGTTCGATTCGAAAATTGATCGCAGTGATGATTTGATTGGCTTATGAATAAATATTTTTTGTTCATTGCACATTTTTCGTCGTTTATCTTTTTTCGTATTATTTATTTTGTCTCAGCGTGCACACGATACAATACTTACACACGCGCACACACACACACACACGTTTTTAAGATCTTACGTATATTAAAAAAAATTTCTTCAATTTAAATAAGCGCGATTTTCCAATGACAATCACAATCTTTAAAAAAAATTCTACATCGACGGTTCTACAAAAACTGAAATCGAAACATTTAATAGCAAAAAAAGCAGCAGCAACAGTAACAATAACGAGAGAGGAAGCGTTGATATGGAATTTCAACAACACTCATCCTTTAGAAACTAATAATTCAAACAAATAAGAGAAACAACAACAAAAAATATAGTCGGTATGTAAAAACCACCCTAAAGACGCGTTTTCTCTGACCAATGTTTGCCATACACGCACATAAATTGCGCACAGCCTTATCTGTTCCACATTTTCTTATTTCTATAATGTTCTCTCTCTACGTACGTTTTACACATTCCTTTTTAATCGCTTTTTATGATTGTTTTTATATAGATATATGTCATTGTATTCTACAACAGCAACAACACTTATAAAATGTATTTTGTTGATGTCAACAGTCCGCGCTGGGAGATATCTTTGCTCGGTTTTAATTTCAGTAAACTCTGTATTTGAAATATTCAGATGTTTCGAGTAAGTGCTTGCGCGAACAGTAACTGTAAATGTGGACCCGATTGGTTGTGAAATTGTAACAATTCGATGCAGTACATAACATTTTCAACTGTTTTTTTTTTTAAATAATAGGTTTTTAAATTAAAACGTTAACTTCAAAAAAAAAAGTGGCGTCAAATTTTTTTTTCGATTTTGCTTTTGATTTTTTTTTATAACTTTAACCTTCTTATTGAAGTGGCACAGTGAGAATTTTGGTAAAACATTTTGTCCATGTGCACAAATTTATATTCCCACCAAATATTCTCTTCGAAGTAAAACTTTTGTTACGCAAGTGTGCTATTTTCTTCTTTTTGTACCGAACAGATGTACACAATTCAAAAGAGATGGATCATGTTGTGTGTCCGAAATTAAAACCATTTGTGTATCCAAATTACATTGTTTGCATCATTGGTTCAACGGAAATTTGTTCATATTGTCTGAGCATTGTAACGAAATTTAATGTGTCAAAACAACAGTAATTTGATCACAACCATTCCAAGCAATTATGATACGTGCAATTTTTTTAGTTTCATTTATGTAGTTGTCATCAATATTTGCATATTGCACAGCGCTTGCTGTGTGAAGTGTCGTCGGTGGCAGTGACGACAATGCTGCCAATTGCAACTAGACACGTTTTATGTGAATGATTTGAACACCGATGGCACAAAAAAAGAGAGCAAAATTTTTTTTGATGTAATTACCTGTTCGTGCATTTCAACCAGTGCTGTGTACAAGCTTTGTCCCGATTCGACCCGCTTTTTATGAAAAGTAATTAAATGCGTCTTGGCTGTACAATCAGCACAAATCATTTTTGTGTATCGGTCCGTTACTTTAATCTATAATAAATATGATGTAGTATTAGTGAATGAATACACACAAAATGCAATAATCGTTGTTTAAACACAATCAAATTAAATTATCGCATAAAATAATCTTGAAATCGTCATACAAAAAATAAATAAATAAAATACTCTTACCTTAATACCGTAAAGTTCATATATGGCTTTTTGTAAAATTGGCGCGGTTGTAACATCGTTTTCGCCCACTTTTATAAAACACAAACGACATTTTGTTCTTAATTCGCGTAAATTCGCCATGGTTGATGTGAACTCCTTTTTTGAAATGAGAGAAAAAAAACTACAACACCAAGCCAACTTTGTTAAATTAAAAGAAAGAAACTCTTCCGATTAAATCGATTTTTTTTCTTCACATTTTCCATTTAGAATGCACATATACTTACTGTCAACCAATTTTCGGTATTTAAAACGCGTGGAACCACTAGAGAAGCCTCTGATAAATGTTGAATTTATGCCAATTCACACATTGTATGCAATTTGATGTTGTGCAAAATAATATGCAAAAAGATAGATATTATTTCATTTGACGAAAAAAAATGGCTACTGTTCTTCTTGTTTACAGATATTTATTATATGTATGTATATTTTTTTGAGTTAAAGTTATTTGATCGGTTGTCGGTGCTCCGTTTTGAGATGCAACTATTATGTTCGGCTTCTATGCTATCGTTTGTTGTGCTTTTCAATGTTTGACAGTTTGATACGCATTTCACAAACCACTTCTTCGCGCTAACTAACACTGCATAAAATCACTAACGCCATCTGACGGACCTTCATTTTAGAAATTACGATATTCATGCTCGCTCTCTCTCTTGTTGCCACTTCTACTTCTTGTCATCTTTTACACAATTCAAATTGAAAATTGTTTGTTTTTGTTTGTTCGACTATTTCTGGAATTTATTCATGTCGCTGAACTGAGATATTTTTAATTGCAGACAATTCTGGCTTCGTTCGGTGTTTATTGTTTTCTATAAATAATGAAATTGTCAATGGCTATTTTCTTTTTAAATATTCGATCAGCGTTGGAATGACTTTCGAGTTTATTGTTTGCAAACATATCGCACATTATTTTGTTAACATTTCGGACATTTTTTGGGACCCATTGATTAGATGATTTATTACGATCATAAAAATATGAAACTAAAATTGGATTTGTATGTCCTTGCGCAACATTGCAACATGTTGCACGTGTAAAATGTTGCAATGTTGTCATCTTTTGTTGAATTTCGTTTTTGCTTTTTTTGATTGCCTTTTTCTGTTGTAGCAAATGATGTAATGAAAGTAAATTAATCTATTATAAAAGGTATAGCTTTGAATAAATTGAAAAATGCAGTAAAATATTTAAAGAAATTGGTAATGAAATTCTAATACATTCTCTGTTATTAAATAATAGTCATTAATTTACTAATATTTTATTAGCTAATAATTATTAAAAATGTAGTCATTCAATAAAATCGATTTTTTTATAAAATAATAAAATATTCAATTGCACATCTATAGTCAAGCCAATTTTTAATAATAATAATTAATCGATAATTACTATATCATATGGACGAATTTTGGTAAGGTATGGAAATTGAGCTTGGATGAGCAAATGATTTTTATTTGCACCGGAATATTTACTTAATTTGGAAATCGATTAATACCGCTATTCTTCGATGAATTAGAAATTACAGTAAAACCTGTCAATAACGGAACCTGACTTTAGTGGAATTCTTGTCAATAGTGGAAAAAAATTTACGCCGTTGAGCTCTCCCATACAAAATGGCCTGGTAATAATGGAAAATGGTTAGAAAACGCTCACCCTCAATAGTGGAAAAAATTTGGGAAAAAATCTTTTATTTGCTAGGGTTTTTCGAACGCGAGAGATATTTTTTCGATTTGCTAGGGATTTTCGAGCTGTTTTTTGGAAGTCAATTTTTTTCCGATTGGAATACCGTTTTCGCTGGGATTTTCCATGTTTCTCCAAAATCACCCCTTGAAAAAGTAATGATAAAAATATGTGAAAATATGTGAAATTTACCCTCAATCATGGAAAACCATTTCTGAATTGGCGTGAAAACCTATTATTAATGGAATGAAAAAAATTGTACCCGTGTGATTCCGTTATTGACAGGTTTAACTGTATAATCAGTGATTATTAATCACTGCTCACACACAAAACTGCTTTGATTTTGTAAAGAAGAAAAACATGAAACGTTTTGCGTATCTTTTACTTTCTAAAAGATTTGTACTAACATTGATTTCGCTTGAACAAGTTTCAACTTCATTTTAAATTAATCTAGCGTTGTATTTTTTTCGCACTTCATTTGAACTTAAGATAATTATCAGCATCAAAATTGCCAACAATTTTTTCTATTTATAATTAATATTATTTATATGTAATCGAAAAAAATAACAATATTTTATGAGAAATTTTAATGTAACCATCTGCGAAGTATGTAGAAAAAATGCCAATGGTATCTAGATAGTATTTTTAAATAATCTAAATCTAGATGGTTTCAAAAAAAAATAACAACTTTTATCTATATCTTATCTGGATTTATTTACACCACCTAAAATAAACACTGAAGCCATGTTGAAGTTTCGAATTATAAGAACATCGTCGATTTTACATGTTCATTTGAAACAGTTTCGATATAATTGGAAAACAAGTATCGTCAAAAAAACCAACCATTCGAATTCTACTGAAAAAAAAGAGATTAATTTCTTCAAATTTTTTTAGGCGGACCCAGAAATACCCAAAAAGTTATTGGCCTTCTCAGCTTTGAATTTGAAGGTTAGATCATGTTGATTTCTAGATTTTCATGAAAAATAATTATTTAAATTATTTTTGTAGGTGATGGTATCATACATGCGCGACATTACTATCGCCATCCCATCGGTAGGATTTTGCACTAACCATTCTTTGGCCTTTTTATACACAGCGCCTAAGAATGGTTAGTGCGAAATCCTACCGATGGGATGGCGCTAGTTAGAGTGATGGGTATTTTTGCTCTTGTCGCGCATGTATGGATGGTATGCCAACCGTATTCACGAACCCGACACCTCACATCGGTTGGATCCAAGACGAAACTGGTGTTGGAGCAGAAGATTGGTTCATTTCTCCGTTGCATCACTTTGCGAATGAATGTCCCTAGCTTAAATCACAGCCTCTGCTTTGCGTTGAAATGAATTCCAGTGTAAATAATACTTTCAGTGGAATCGGATTAATGCTACACCAGCATGAAATTATTTCGTTTATTCAGAAATCAGAATTCAGTCTTTATTGCTCTCAACATCCGCAAGATAACTGAAAGCGATATGAATTTATTTTATTTGGACATAACAGGCGGGCTGAAAAGTTCGTATCGTTTCTAAGAAAGAGCGCTACCATAACAAAATCCATTATGTTTCTGGAAAGTACCATCCTTTCAAGGCATATATACGAAATTTGAGCCATATCCGTCCACTGAGTCAGAAATTATAGCACTTGAAA